CAACGTATATGGTATATGTACACTCCAGATCAAATTTCACTTGGACTGGTCCGTTTAAACAGCGAGCGGAAACCGAATCGATAACATTTGTTTCCCTGGATTGGTATAACCGTTATTTATGTTCGTTCGAAATTTGATCTCCATATGTCAAGTAGTGTGAACTTGGCATCACCAAGGAAATAAACAACGAGTTTACTTGCAATTTTGTGTTTCCAATGGAATCAAAGAAGAAGTTTATATTATAGGGAGTCGAGTTTATCCCGAAAACAAGTATATCATAAAAGTGGCACAAAGCGTTCAGTGAAGGTCGTGAAGTCATCTAATGCTTGCCTCTTGCGAGTCATTCACCTCTTTTAATAACGATAACATCAAAAAAATTAAAAAACAATTCTTGATAATCGTCGTGTTAGCTTTAGAAAAAAGCAGAGAGTGAATCGATTCAACACAATATGGTTAACGTTCTGGGTATGAAGGGTGTCATTGCTAGCCTCGTACAAAAATATTTGAATAGCATTCTAGCATGATTGTGACCGAAATGATACCAGATTTGCCTCCCTATGACAGTTGTGCATTTTTCCGCTCTTTTAACTGTAGTCGGCACTTTACGCACAACCGACTACTTTTTGGCACTATTTGAAGAAAGAAAAAATATTGTGACGAACACGGATAATAGAACAAAATCGAATTGAAGATAAATTGCCAGAAGCAAGTAGACAGCGAATTCGTAGTTGCCAGAGTGTTATAGTGGCGAACTTTTCTTAAAGATCTACTATACAAGGGCTGCCGGTTTGTGCAGTAAACACAGTTCTAATTAGGGTGCTGCCATGCAAAGAGTAATTAAGATATAAGTAAGAAGTTGTAAACTAGGATAATGATAAGTAAAAGTTAAGTTGATGGGATTAGAAATAAAGATAAGTGTATAGCCATCAAATTGGGACTTTTATTTAACAATCCATCAAAGAAGATTTGGTGTTTCAATGGAACTACGTCCTGATCAAAAATGGAATCTCAAGTCAGCTTTAAGTCAAGGGATGTTCCAGAAAAACGGGTAGAATTTACTCCAATAAGAGATGGACGGCTATCAAATTTAACAACATCCCTAAAGGCAAGATGAGAGACATAAATCATTTGTGTTTGGCACCGCAAATATGTCTAATCGGGACGATCAGTCTTAGGGGGAGGGCAGTGTGATGAACACGGATGATAGAACAAAATCGAATCGACGATAAATTACCAGAAGTAACTAGTAAAGAGTAATTAAGTTATAAGTAAGAAGTTGTAAATTCGAATAGTGATTAGTAAAGCGTTAAGTTGTTTGGATTAAAAATTAAGATAAACACATATATAGGTATATAGTCATAAAATTGGGAATCGGATTTAATACAATAGTTCCCTTAGACTTTGTATAAAGATTTTCGAACTTCTATTTGCCTCTATATCGAATATGTAAGATATCTTACCAATATTAACTGAACATATAATATTGAATATACCACAGTTTTATGTCAAAAATGTGTTTAATTGGTCGGCAAATTACCCCATCTCCCATAAACTACAATGCCGAATATGTCGGTCAGCGTGTTTGTAACATATTTATGGAATTGCTTGAAAATATGTTCTCAAATATATTTTAGCAACGTCAAAAGTTAGTGTAATCAGCTCTTTCTGTCCCAATATACTCTATGTAGTGATTTCTGGCTTTCCACCTTTTTTTAAATCGTTCACGTTTGCCAAAATGTGTGATATTTTTTTATAAAATTAAGTAGACAAGTTTTCCTAAAAATTATGTAGTTTAGCGTTCAATATGAATAGAATTGGTTTAGACCTTGATCGAAACTTTATATCCCTAATATAATCAATTCCGGTTTTATGGTTAACGTTTTACACATCAACTCAATATATTAAATTTAGTCTCTTCGGTTGGGTTTATTTCAGATATATCTCATTTGAAGATGGTTTTAATACAATTTTCACTGATGCTTTGAAAATATATGTATGAATAAAACTATCGTCATGTAACCTTCAATATAAGTTAATAAAATAGCAAATTTGGTTGTTATCCATTCACGATTTTGTCGAGTAATGAATGTTGTATTCTTTCGCAATATTTTTTAATATAAAGATATATAAATTAAATAAAAATGTTCGATTACACCCGAACTTAGCCCTTCATTACTTGTGGACCATTATATAAGCTATAGAGATGTGAGTATGAACTTATGGAGACAACTTGATGTAACTAATTATTAAGTCTCTTATTTGTGAACTTATTATATAGACACATAAGTAGTAATACACATTATGTATTATAAAATCAAATTAATATACACATATTAACAATACGTTTACTGTTTTGTTTTTGTTAATAAATTGTTAGAAAAAAACTTTTTCCAACTATATTTTCGCGAAGTAACCAATCCTAAGTTTTTCACTAACGCACACGCAAAATGTCAAATTTGGTACGGGTTGTCCCAAATATTCTACTACTAAAGTCAGTTAGTCAGACTTCTACAACTATAAAGTCCAAGTGCCTCAAATCTAGTATTGTGTTGCCGTGTTATGTTTTAAAATTTATAACTTTAAGAATGTTTTTATTACATATTCAAATATTTTTTGATTATTAAAATTCCAAAAGATTAAATTTATGTATCTATGTATTACGTGCAACAAGTTGTTATTAATATTCATGAAGTGTACCTAATTTTATTTATAAATATTTTTATACTCTCGCAACCTGTTGCTACAGAGTATAATAGTTTTGTTCACCTAACGGTTGTTTGTATCACCTAAAACTAATCGAGTTAGATATAGGGTAATATATATATAAATGATCAGGATGAAGAGACGAGTTGAAATCCGGGTGACTGTCTGTCCGTCCGTCCGTCCGTGCAAGCTCTAACTTGAGTAAAAATTGAGATATCTTTATGAAACTTGATAGACATGTTTCTTGGTACCGTGAGACAGTTGGTTTTGCAGATGGGCGTAATCGGACCACTGCCACGCCCACAAATCGCCATTAATCAAAAACAAATAAATTGGTATAACTAAGCTCCCCAATAAGATACAATACTGTTGTTTGGTACACAGGATCACATTAGGTGGGGGCATCTGCAGTTAAATTTTTTTTTTTAAAGTGGGCGTGGTCCCGCCTCTAATAGGTTTAATGTGCATATCTCCTAAACCGCTAAAGCTATAATAACAAAATTTACTAGAAGCAAATGTTTTTAGCACTTCTATTGACGATGTGAAAATAGTTGAAATCGGGTGGCAACTCCGCCCACTCCCCATATAACGGTACTGTTAAAAACTACTAAAAGCGCGATAAATCAAGCACTAAACACGCCAGAGACATTAAATTTTATCTCTGAGATGGTATAAATTGGCTTTATAGGAACCGCGTTTAAAATTAGTCAGTGGGCGTGGCACAGCCCACTTTTAGGTGAAAACCCATATCTTGAGATCTGCTCAACCGATTTCAACCAAAGTCGGTGCATAACGTTCTTTTCATGTTTCTATGTCATAGTGCGAAAATGGGAGAAATCGGACTACAACCACGCTTACTTCCCATGTAACACGATTTTCAATTCCATCTGATTCTTTCACTTTCCACTATGCAAATCAGGTAACAATGATTATATCGGGGTAAAACTTTGCGTGAATAATGCAATTAAAGTATGCCACCTTGCGGCCAAAAATTGTCTAAATCGAACCAAAACTGTTCAAACCTAAGTACTAAATATATTGCCTATAGTTGACCTTCTACCGAAAATATCAGTCAATCCACAAAGAAATCTCAAACGAGTAGACCATTTGACTTTGCGAGATTATAAAATGTTCGGTTACATCCGAACTTAGCCCTTCCTTACTTGTTTCTAGTTATATTTGTTATTATTGTTTTAGAACTGTATACGTATTTTATAAGGGTGAATATAGGCCTCCTGGGGAACCGAACACTCATAAAAGATCGGTAACGCGGATACATTGCAACCTCAGAGGTGGTGGGAAAAAGCAATAAATATACAATAAACTTTTGTTCAGGAAATATTTTTGAATTTTTTTTAATGGTTTCCTGTACAAATGCCGTTTTACAAAAGAGTTATAACACAACATTCTTTTTATTTACATCTCTGTGTCAAAAAAGGCAGATTTCGATCAGGTGTAAATTCTTGGAAAACATTAGGTTAGAATAGAAATAGAAATTGTGTGAGATTTGGGTCTATTCTGCCCTCTTCTCCATCAAAGGACCAGCACTCTTATGAATTCCAGGAACTTGCTGGTCGCTATTAAGGTAATGTTATCACTGTATATATAAATGGATCCGAGGGCTTGGAGACTGCGTATACAAATTACTGTGCGATCTAGTATACAAGAAGCTATGCTTATGTTGGACAGGTGTTTCTTGGGCCTGCAGTGCCCAGTATAGAGCGCGACAAGGAGCCGGAATTTTCCTCTGGGGAGATTGATCATAATTTTGAACCTACCTTTCTTGCTGTCAGTGACTTTCTCTACCCACTCTCTCCTCTGTGCGGAGCAGCTTCTCTATGGTACCCCTTTATGCCCCGGTGTTTTCGAGCCATCAGTGTACCACTGAATAGTGCTGCCTTTCAATAGAAAGTCGAGCGTGAAATCACTTTAGTCCGCCTTACTGACGAGAGTAACTTCAAACATCTTCGTTAAGTTTATCCTTTTTGTAGCGCTGTGTCTTGAAAGGCAGGCCAGCAGTGTATTTTCCTCTAAGGCCTTCATTTGTTGAGACGAGATTAACTTCCCTTTTCCATACCCCTTTGCTGTTATAAGCAGCATGGTATGCTTCGCAGTCTGTTTAATCACTAGATGGAGCGGTATGAGCTCTAGCATGACCTCAAGTGCTGCGGTTGGACAAGTGCGCATTGCTCCAGAGGCGCAGATGCAGGCAAGTCCTTGCAGCTTCGATAGTTGAAGACCTATCGCAATCTGCGATGCTTTCGATGCCTAAACTACCGCTCCATATGTAACAATAGGCCTTACGCACACCGATTTCCATTGCTCGTAAGCAGCTCAAGGAGTTCATATATTACGAGACTCCATAGAAGAGTGTCCCCCGCCCTGAGGGCAACGTCTCGTAGTACCAAGACGTATCTTGCTCTCCCCCACTGTGGCTTCAGCAATCCTGGTAAGCAGTACAGCCTCTATCCATCTGCATATAGGAGCTTCCACATTTCTTTTCTTCAATGCTTAATCCCGCTTGCGTGAGACGCATTGTTAAAAGCACCTTCAATCTCTAGGAAGACACATATCGTCACGTCACTATTCTCCAGCGAGTTTTGAATTTCAACCGTTAGTTAGTACAGTGCAGTGTTAGTAGACCTACCTGCTCTGTAGGGGTGCAACTTTCAGCCCCCAACACCCAGGGTGCGATTTGGAGCGGAGCGTTGTGCTCCGATCGATGTGGCTGATTCGTATTCTGTCTCTTCGAACTCGGGGGTTCTTGAGGAGTTATCTGGGTTCGTGAGGAGAAACTTACTTTTTTCTGCAAATGTATTTAATGAATATATAAGATTTCATATTTAAAGACCTTAATAATTGAAGCATAAAGTTTATTCACCAATTGAATTATTGAATATGAGCAATGATATTTACATATGCAAACAATTATCATTAAAATATAAACTATTACATATCTATGTATTTATGTACTACTTTTCATGTTTTTTTATAGTTTCTATTTTGAATATTACTTTGCTATAATGTAGTTACCGCAACAAAACATAAAACATTGGCATTCCATCTTTGCTGGCATCATGCGACCGTACATGCATAATGTGCATGTTTTTCAAAATTTCTGTGGAAATGAAAACAGCTCTGTCAAACCACCAAATTACAGTTCATTGCTAGCAATGTATAGCATGAAATATATTCAGACGTCAATTGCTAAACATTAGCGATGTGCAGTCTCCATGGGCAATATTGCTAGCAATACAGAATATTAGCAATCTTAAATTGCTCACCGAGATGCCCCGTAAGAAAGAATGGCACTCAAAAGAATCCCGCTTAAGTACCATATGGGATGTACGATTTGTTTGTTAAAAATATGCATTAGAAATATGAAATTGTAATATCTTTTTAATAAAGTTTTAATTAATAAAAACAATAGTATACAGTTCTTAAGCAACATTCAATGTTAAATTAAAAGCAACAAAGTATAAAAAAACAAAATTTTGGATAATGCAATATGAGATCATATTGTTAACAAATTTAATACTAATTAACAGACACACATATGTGTTTCACTAAAAAATAACGTAAAGGTTTTTGAAGTGGTACATAAGGGAAAATTTGTAAGTAAATGTTTGAATGAAGCACAAAATTCTGTGATACATAAGCGAGTGGTATCTAAAAAATAATTTCTATGTATTAAAAAAAAGGCGTGAGATGCAGTAAGACACAGGAAGATAAGAGGGACTGACACTTAAAGGGGACACTACCCGGATTGACTGTATGGTACATATTTGGAATATGATGCTTTATAAGTTAGGTAAATACGGGTGATAAGGAAGTTCTCCTAAGTTGTAATAAATAGTATTTTGATATATATTTAGGGTCGGCTTTAATATACCGTCCCAGGCTTTCGGGGATAAAATGGGTATGGGCGGATAGAGGAGATTCTCCAGATCAAGCATATATATAGATGTAGCCGCGGGAAACTTATAGTTTTCGAGATATTTATGTTTAAAGTTGAAATTTTCAACTATTTCAAGTACGTATATTTGCGATTTAATATGAATTATGCACTTGTATTTTTCATTTTTATATCCACTAACACTTCACTAATTTGTTTTTAGACATTTTTTATATTAAATACTGCAAAAATGTCTATATTCCAATATTTAAATCATTCTTCAATTTTATTAATTTTGACAATAACAAAAGGGTTGTAAATGTCAAAACACCAGTGTTGCTAATATATTTTGCAAACGAAGAAAAATAAAATAAAGAGATTATACCCTAGATACAGGAACCAACGCAAAAAGGAGTTATACGCGAAAAGACCTTGGTACACCCCGTTTTTGGACCGACAGGGTTATTTTTTTTTGAAGAGCGGCCGAAGGAAGCCTACGGAAAAAAAGGTTCTGCGTAAAAAAACCTTGGGACACCCCGGTGTTGGACCGACCAGGGTTATTTTTTTGAAGCGCGGCCGAAAGCCTCCAACTCAAAAAGAAGTTCTTCAAGAAAAAGTAATATTGTCATAGATGGTATAACATAATACTTAACATCAATGCTTTAATAGTTTATATCTCTAGGTTTTGGATTCCTGTATTTGGGGTATTATCTGTTTTAATTTCTTTCAGTTCAATTACAAAAGATGTCGATAAGGTAACACTGGTTATTTGACATTTTGCAACCTCTTTGTTATTGTCAGAATTAATAGAACTTAACAATAATTTAATTATTTTTGAATTAAACTATTTTTGCACTATATAATGTAAAATAAATGTGTACAAACGAGTTAGTGAAGTGTTAGTGGATATAAAAGTGAAAAATATAAGTGTATGATTCATTTAAAATCGAAAAAATTCGTACTATAAATAGTTTAAATTTTCAACTTTAAACGTAAATATCTCGAAAACTATAGGTTTCCCGTGGCTATATCTATATATATTCTTGATCTGGAGGATCTTCTCTATTTGCTCATACCTATTTTATCCCCGAAAGCCTGGGACGGTGTACTAAAGTTTTCCCATTAGTTAAAGTATACAGACGCCTATGGGCATTATACAACTAAGTATTTGTAATTTATATTACATAAAAGAAATGAGCGGGAAGGGTATATATTTATATTAACAAGATTAACTAGTTATGTGTCTGTGGGTTAAGGGTATTGTAGTACACTGTGTCAAAACCTTTTGAACTAAAAAGTTTGACCAGTTGACCAATTAAGAAATTTTTTTTTGTGTTATTGGATCGTATCTTTTCGCTTAAAAAAATTTACTTTTTTTTTCAAATTCAATAAACAAAAGCCACAGAGTTCATTTTCATTTTAAAAACAATTAACTTAAACAGAAAAAGTCTCCGCTCATCAACCAGAACACAATAATATCAAGTAATTATAAAAATTTTAATAGCTGATGGGGTAGCCTCGAAATTTTAGAGCTTCTGCTTGACGTTTGGGCTTGGAATGTACTAATTTTCTCGTATCTTGAGCTGACATTTTACTCCATTCGTCCAATATAACTTTCTTGAGCATTTCTGTGCTGCGGCAGCGGCCTACTTTCCGGGGGAGACTTCGACAGCAACCCCAGAGGTAGTCGGTAACCTGGTGGAGTATTGCAGAAGAAATAAGCTGCCTCTATTCCTAGGTTGTGACGCCATCGCCCAACATACGGAATGGGGCAGCACGGACTGCAACACACGGGGTGAGTCTCTAATTGAATTTGTAATTAGTAAAAACTTAATCGTTGCAAACGTGGGGTGCGAACCCACTTTTGTTACTAGTGTTAGAAAGGGAGGTGCTGGACATCACTCTTAGTAACGAGCCTATGGCATGGTTTATCTCACAATGGAGAGTGTCGTCAGAACCCTCCATGTCAGATCACCGAATCATAAGATTCGCACTGGGGATAGACGTCAAACAACTCCCTTCCATGCGTATCCCTAGCAACACGGACTGGGCCACTTTTAGGGACTCGCTAGAAACTAATGTTAGTAGGAGGGGCAGCTGGATAGAAGTGCCACGGCTCCTGGATTGGAGAGCAGATTGTCTGCGCTAAACCAAACCATTATGGAGGCATATCACAGCAGCTGTCCTCTAAAGACAACCACCAAAAGTCGCAGCTGCTCCTGGTGGTAGTAGACTCTCAGAACTAAGTAAAACGGTACGCAAACTATTTAACAAAGCCAAGCGTACCAGGAACTGGGAGGACTACAGCTGCAGCCTAACTGCTTACAATAAGGAGATTAGGACAGCAAAGCAGAAGAGCTTCAGGAAGTTCTGTGAAAGCGTCTCCTCAACACCAGAGGCAACGAGGCTGCATAAGGCTCTGGCTAGAGACAAGACGAACACAGTACTGGTAATCAAAAGATCGGATGGGACCTATACCTCCAGCGCAGAAGAAAGAGCCACGGCTCTTCTATTTGCGCATTTCCCGGAGACGATTCGAGAAGACCACATCCAACCTATGGTCGAATGAAAGCTATCTCGCTTAGATTGGATAGTCGCAAAACAGCTCGAGTTTCGTTTTGTGGTACCAAGCTGTAAATATGTCCACGTCACACTAGAGAGTTTGGGTGTCTTGTACGCCTGTTATCATTCGGAAAATCTTCAGGTCATCCGCATAAGGAAGATATTCAGACTTGAAATTTGCATCGATGTTGTTAACGCAATATTGAAAAGAATAGGTCCCAGGTGTGACCATTGGGGTACTTCGGATGACACCTCGTACTTTATGGATAGATGGCCGTCGACTTTAACTTGTAGTTGCCGTCCGGTTAAATATGAATGGATCAAGCTCAAAGCTCTACCTCGAATATCGTAGTTACTTAACTTAGCGAGTAGAATATTATGGTCTACTCTATCAATCTACGTAGTTCCTGTAACATATTGAATTTAGCTGTTAACATGCTTGCCTCAGGTCACTGAATTTATTATAATTGAGTTTGGTACTGTTTTTCTTGTAGGCAGAGTACGTTTCTTTTTTGAGTAGTGTTTTGCTTCAGTTCATTAGAGAACCGGTTAGGAAAATTATTTGATTTTTGTGTATATACTGGAACCAGTGTATATACTGGAACCTGTGTATATACTGAAAAGACAAAACAAATGGTTTTATCGGCAAAATCAATCAACCCGGATTTATTCCGGCCAAGGACTGTCAACTCGGCAGAATTTTGTCGCTACAACAACAACAACAGTTGTTGTAACGATTATCTAATCCCCGTTTGGGTGATAAATTCTAGATTCGTTGTCGTCGAGGTCATCTAACGGAAGGCCCAGGAAACAAGCTGTTTCGACGGGGTCGGACCATAGGGAGAGGGGTGTTAGATGAGTGGGGTTTGTTGGGCATGCAAAGAGGTGGTTAGTGTCATGCGGAGACTCATTGCATGCAGGACATGTGTTTGGTATGTCAGGGTCTATTCTGGATAGGTAGGAGTTTAACCTGCTACAGTATCCAGAACGAATTTGCGCGAGGGTCACTCTAGATTCGCGAGGCAACTCGAGCTCTGTGTCTGCAATGGGTGGTGGTTTGACTCGTATTACGCCATTCACTGAGAGGGAGTCGGTGAAGGTGTTAATGGCTCCACTGCGAATGGCGGTCAGTGCCTGTCTGAAGTTAGTTGCGTCCGAAGTCTGGTCGGCGTGCTGTCTGATGTCGTCGACGTAGTCAAGGAAGGACCTCTTGATGTTCCTAGGAGGCTGTTCCGCTGCAAGCAGGCGTCTGCAGGGGTGGTTTCTGCGAAAACATCCCAGCAGAAACTGCTTGGAGAGGAGCTCGTTATGTTCCTTAACCGGAAGCATACGGGCCTCGCTATGTAGGTGTTCGATTGGGGACATCAAGAGGCTCCCCGTGATAGTCCGGAGTGCAGTGTTCTGACAAGTCTGAAGCTTCTTATTCTGCGTGTCACTGCATCCAGGCGACCATATTGCGGCTGCATAATTGAGGACCGGCCGGCCGATTGCCTTGTATGTTGCCAACAACGTTTCTTTGTCTTTTCCCCATGAGCTGCCGGCAAGCGACTTGAGGATTTTGTTGCGGCTCTGTACTTTGGCAGTTATCGCGGTCGTATGAGGAGTGAAAGAGCACAGACTGTCCAAAGTGACGCCTAAAATTTTAGGGTTATTTACTGTCGGAATTTTTGTGCCATCGACTGAAATGTTCAGGTCCAGTCTGTACTCCTTCGTCCAATTGGTGAAGATGGTCGCTGTGGATTTAGTGGGGGAGAGTGTTAGGTTCCTTGCAGAAAAGAAGCGAGAAAGATCGGAGAGGTAGCCGTTTACTTTTGAACACATGCCATCGATTCCATTGCCCGACGTCAATATCGTACAGTCATCTGCGTACGAGGTGATTGAAATTCGCGCTGGTGGCTGGGGGAGTTTTGAAATGTAAAAATTAAACAGTAGCGGGGAGAGAACACCGCCCTGCGGAACCCCCTGTTTAATTTTCCTGAGTTTGGAGTTTTGACCTCGAAATAGTACGGATGAGTGTCGACCGCTCAGGTAGTTCATGGTCCACCGCTTCAGCCCTGGAGGGAGCGTTGATTGTTCCAGGTCCTCAAGTAGCGTTGCGTGATTGACTGTGTCAAAAGCTTTTGACAAGTCCAACGCTACGAGGATCGTCCTCTCGCAGGGTGGCTTCTGGTTCAGGCCATGAACTATCTGGGCGTTTATGACGCTAAGTGCTGTGGTGGTACTGTGCACTTTACGGAAGCCATGCTGATGGTCTGCTAGGCTCAGGTGGTGGGTGAATGACGGGAGTAACAAGGCCTCAAGTGTCTTCACTACTGAAAGGAGAGTTATCGGCGATAAGACCCCTTTGTTGGCGG